TATCGATTTAATTATACAATGACATTATTCAACTATTGAGTTCTAGAGGAGTGAACTCTGAATAAAAGCAAGCCAAGACACTAGGTTGTTAATTTTCATGTTAAGACAATGTTTCCTTTAGAAACTCTTTTTTGTTTCATGTGAAATACGAATTTCCAGCAACTGTGTTTTCTTTCTCTGCTATTTTTTCCTTTGTTTCCACTCTAAGAGATCCTTATCTTTTGTCACTTGCATAGTATACCTTGAAAGTGTCAGCCTCATTAAATGAATGCCGGATGTAATACTGACATCTTCAAGGAATACAATCCTTTTTCATAAAATAATTTTCCCTGATATATAAAGGATGCTCCTATAAATGCCAAAATAATTTTATTTTTAATTTAGCCATTTTAGCAATTCTTTTCAATAAAATCTGTACACGGCATTGAGCCAGACAGTGTGGGAGCCATAAATATAAACAGACATACTTCCTCCAGGAACTCGCAGCCTTAAAAAAGAGATAGGCCGCTTCAGATCATTCTCTTGTGGGGCATAGCCTGATGAATGACTGAAAAGAGGTGCAGAGAAGTGCTGTGAATGCACCAGGGCAGGAGAGATTACTTCTGGGTTGAATAGGGAGAACTTCCTGGAAGAAACAGTCTTGATAAAGAATGGGGAAGGTCTGTCAAACTCAATGGCAGGGACAGGTATTCAGGGTAGCAAGTAACTAAAAGCAAAGTCACTAGGGCAGGGATGCAGGGCACAGCTGGAGGTCACAGATGGAGATGCAGATGAGGCAGAAAAGGGGGTCAGGTCCCCATTGTCAGCATGATAAATGCCGTGGTCAGGAGGTTAGACTTTATTCTGGGATAATGGACAAGGATTGTCTCACTCTAGGCTTTAGAACTAAGTAAATGACATGATCAGAGTAAAATTCAATTCAATTCGGCAAAATGTATTGAGTAGCAACGATGCACCCAGCCCTGTACTTGATGTAGTGCATTCAGAAACCATCCTAGTGCTGCCTTCAATGTCCCTAGAGTCTAGTGGGGGATGGATATATGAACAGATAATGTAAACAAAAATAGTATATTGAGCTCTGTTAAATAAGCAGAAGGCCATTGGCCTGAGGTTCTCGCCCTATTTTCAGTTTCTACTTAACAAACTGAAACCTAACTTAGGAGTATATTTTTTATAACAAATAGTTGGGTTTCAGTTAATCATAAACAACTGAGCTTTAGCCAATCCCAGGCACCCAACTGATCCAACTACACCCAAATAAGGCAAACACCTCACAGTAGCCAACAGATAATATCTTTACTTTGCTTCTGTGTTTGGCCTGTAAAACTTGCTACTCATGCTGCTGGATGGAGCCCTCTCACCTCTTCTGGTTCTGATTTCTACCCAATTCAGGAATCATTCTTTGCTCAAATGAACTCTGTTAAATTTAGTTTGTCTAAAATGTTTATTTTAGCAGCTCATATAGATATATCTAAAGGAGGCTATGAGAACCCACAGAAAGTAATATGGGGGCTAAGGGAGAAGTTGGTACCTGAGTCTTAAAGACTTAAAGAGTTATTTGAATGAAGAGAAGAAAGAAGGATATTCCAGTTTAAGAGAATACTGTGATCAAAATCACAGAATATCAATTAATAGAGGATGTATAAAAAAAAAAGACAGCAGCTCCATTTAACTAGTGGCTCAGAATGAGGCAGAGAGAGGGGAGTGAGGGAGAAGAGGAGATGAGGGGCAGGGACTGTGCTTTGGAAACTCAGGATGGAGGCAGGGAAACCAGGAGACTATTAGAGAAGTGAAGTCCCACAGGTGCTACATTAAGGTGGCACACCCAAAATAGAAATTCCAAACTTTCCATGGGAGTCTCACTTAAAGGGGTTCAAGTATATATTTTGCCAGGCAACTCTTACTAATACTTCAAGTTATTTCCTAACCTTCAGCATCCTCAGAACTCCCATTCCTATTCCAGAAGAACCCTCACCCCATCGTCAGTGTTTCATTCCCACCACCTGGTTTTTTAATCCCCTTTCTCTTCTCTGCCATTCCAGCAGACCACACTGCCCTGTGAGTGTTATACTTTGCTCTGTTTGGTTTTCTGCACCTACTCCAAATCTTTACACACAGATTTTTATCCTCTCTTCTCTGCCAATAGGGCTTGATGGTGTTGGAGCAAGTGGGCTGCTTTGTAATGAGGATGGGGGTTGTGGGAGGCTCTAAATTCACATATGTTAACAATTTGGGGCCAGTTACAATAATTAAAATATAAGACAATCAGAAAGAGCTAGAGAAGTGGCAGTATAATGGAATAGAAGACATGGAAGTGAGATAACTTGTAGAAACATAGTCAGGGCCGAACAAGTACCCAAAGTAGGACAGAGGCAGAGAGAAGTAGGACTTTAAAACTGCTTTGTAGTTTGAATCTTGAATAAATAACAGTAGTGTGATATTATTCACCATGTCTGGGGGATACAAACAGAGAAACATAAGAGATAATAAAAGAAGATGAGAAACTCGGCTTTGTATATGCTTAGCCTGAGCTGTCAACAAGATATTAGGGTCATATTTAAGAACCAGAGTACTTCAATTTGATGCCATATACCAGCTATCTCTAAATCTGTGTGTTACAAATCACCATTCATAATCAAAATCAAACTCTTGGAAAATGACCTACAATAGCCAGTTCTTGGAGATTGTTTGTACATGGGTAATGCTTGCAGGAAATAAACCCATTTAACTTTGTTTCCAACATTCTTCCTACCCACCCCCTCCCTTCTATTTTTCTCAGAATACCTCAGCATCCTAGGGAATGTTTTTTTCAGGGACAGTGCTCTAAGAAGTGCTCATTAAAACACTGCAGGTCTCTAATCAGGGGAGGTTTAAGACAGAAGGAACATGGTGTGGGAGAAGGCAGTTGGTTTGCATGGGAGTGAGAGTTGAAGCATTATGAACTGCAGAATCACCAAGAATGAACAGAGAGAGAAAAGGGGGTTGGAGGCAGAACATTTATAAACACCATTTGATATATCAAATGACACATAGAGAATATACTTGGAAGGATGGCAAGTTGTAATGGCAAAATCATGTGTGTCAGAGTGATCTAATCTTTTTAAGATTCCATTTTCTTTCTGAAAATTGATGTCTACCTTGTTGAAAGGTACTGAGATTTAAAATAGATATGTGAAACATCTTCCACATAGAAAACACATAATCCACTCCCAATAAATACTATTGTTAATACTGCTTTCATTTAAGTCTTTCTTGATAAATTGAAGTAAAACCTTGATGAATACACTGTGGCATTAAAACTTGAATGTTGGACAATTACATACGAGAAATCTCAGTCATTTGTATCAAAACCCTAATATAGGGAAGCAATCCTAGTTTCAGACAAGCCTCAAGCAGTAATAGCATGGTACAGGAGTAGCATCCATAGTAATAGCATCCATGGGCAATGAAAGAAGACACCATAGGAATTTCCCTATGGTACTAGGAACTACATTTTTTTCATCTATTTTTCATGAAAAGATGCTGAAAGCTAATATCTGAGCCTCAGTAAATACATTTGCTCTCCATATAAAATCCTACACTAAAAACCCCTTCCATGTGAATGACTGTGGGTATCAAATTGTCATGACGGGACATCCTCTGACAATACTCATTATCTGGCACCCTCAGGGTGAGACCAGGGGAAAGGCATCCACAACAAAATACTGGCTAATGAGATATATTTCTGTCTAATATATCACAGTGATACAAATGCAAACCTTAGTCATTTTCAATATTGGATAATTGAGCATACAAGCCCAAAAAAGATTTTGAATTTAGAGTTAAAAGTTCTGTTAACTGCCACAGCAGATTAGATTTTCTGTTCTCCAGCAAAAAATGGGGGCAATTACCAAGATTTCACCCAAGTCAATTCATTCCAAACCCCAAAGGAATGGTCACCAGAATTTATTATCTTGCAGTCTTTTGGAGGGCGACCTCATAGGTCTCAGGTCTGGCTGAGGAGCCTGGTGTAGTTAAGACTGGGCATTAATGTGACTGGTCAGTGTTTTCAATAAAGAAGACATTCCATAGCAGCCAAGATGTGGGTGAAAAACATGACCAAAAGGATGGCAATCAAGTCATTGCAGAGGTGTCTGAAGCATTTGGGTTATTTAGAGCCTTGGGAAGGAACAGTGGCAGGGTGACAGATTTACGGTCATGGACACAAAGGGCACTGTGGCAGGAGATGCTCACATGTTATTCTCTGAGCTAACATAGGCTGGTGTGTAAATGAAATTTGCCATAGAAATTCATGGGGTTTCTCTCAGGTGAGTACTTGCAGGAGAAAATGGACAACTATGTACTCTGATTGGTTTATATGGTCACTTGCCTAAAATCACAAGACTGGGGCAGAGTGAATACACATATATTCAATCTGTCCCAGTGAATATATATATAAAATATCTTAAATATATATATTATATATGTATGTATAAAAAACAATGTTACTTAAATGTGTCCTGAAAGACTGGCAGTGTCAGCATTGCCTGAATCTATAATTACCCAAAAGTGCAAATTTCCAGGCCCACCCTATGCATGGAGGAAACAGAATCTCTGAGCAATTTGTTTTAAGAGGCTTTCGGGTTGTTCTTACATACAGTAAAGTTTAAGAAGCACTGCTCTAGACCTTTATCTGATGGGTCAACAATTGACACATCTCTCCACTTCAACCTAATCCCCAAAATGGGCTGGCTTCTTCATCTTTCTGCCCTGAGTTTCCGGTTCTCTTCCTCTGATAGCCCCTGACTAGACCATCTGATTACACATAAGAGCTCAGTTTGGAAGTTTTATCACCTACAAAAATCAAGAAACTGTGCAGAGGCAGTAAAAATACTAATTTTTAGCTTTGTGATTTGGTTTGCAGCAGACAAAACTCATTTATAACTTTTTTCCAAGTTCTATTCATTTCCAAGTTAACGATGATATAAATAAAGGAATGGAAAAAGGAGGGAAATACTTACATGGGCTATAAGTTGCTCCTGGGAAGCTTTTACTTCAGCTTGCAATTTCTCGATGCACTGAAAAGGAGAAAAGTCTAGAAACCAAGTATGTAACTCTTTCTTTTACATACTCGAAGTATTGCAGACATATCTGTGTATCAGTTTTCAAGTCTCGTGAATGGTAGCATTATTTCAGCTACATTTTTGGAAAATCATTATTGGAGAAATCATCCCCCCTTTCCTATTTCTCTTCCATTCTGTGGAATAGCCCAAAGAAAAAACACACAAATATATTAAGAACTAGGATATGTCTGAATAAGGTAATGTTAGCTTGATGTGCTGTGGTTAATGCAAACACCCCTATATCATATATATATACATACACACACACACACACACACACTCTATATATAATATCTATATATCTATATCTATATACCTCCACATGAAAACATATTCCTATATTCCAAAAACAGATACAAAGCCTTTAGATTGAACAAGATGTAAATTTATATAATGATATATATAAATGCTCAGATATTCAGAGATCAATCATTTCTTATAAAGTAATTGATTAAAAAACACATGCCGAATGTTAGAATCCTCGTTTTACTGCACAGAAAGAAACTACTCCTTGTTTAACCTTGACAAGTAAGAGACATTTGTACAGTCAATATCATTTATAAAATAAATAGAATATTTAGCTCATATTATTCAAAAAGATGCATATCAAACTTTAAAACTACTACTAGCCAAATAAATTTTATGTCAATATTCACCAGGGAATAAAATTACTTTTAGCAAATACAAATACTGTTATTTGCCATTGTGAACTTGAAAATCTGAACTTTTAATCCAGACTGAAATGGCTTTGCAGAATTGTCAGTTCATATAAAATTAGGTAACTTTTAAAGTAAAGATGACTTTGTTCTACAACATACCTGGTCTTTTGCAAGTAGCATTTTTTCATATGGTTCCTCACGGGCTTCCTTGTGGTTCACAGCTCCAGTTTTTCCTCCAGCCGGGATACTTGTTCAAGCGGTTTTGATTTTGTTCCTTCAGAGACTGAAAGCTGAAGATATTTTCTTTATGAGGGCGTGTAAGTACAGTAATATTTTAAAAGCTCCTTTTAAAAATTCAACTTATAAATAATTTATCTTCCACCAATATCCATTAAGTATAAAAATCGTTTCTGGAATATTTCTCATAGATGATAAATTAGCATAGAGAAAGAAGGAAAAAATTGATTTTATTTATTGTTTATAATTAAGATCTTTCTAAGCAGGAGATTAATCCACATAGTTACAATGGGCAGATAAATTTCTTAAAAATCTCAACATTCATCTTCATTGTGTTTCAATATTGTACTTTATTTGTACAGCTGAATCTGAAACTAGTATTGTGGTTTACATACGGTCTTTGAAACTTAACTCTTGGGGAGCTACAGCTTTTTAGAAGGAGTGGGAGTTCTGATTCCCTTGAATGTTCACCATAGAAGCAGCAGGGTGCATTTAACTAGGGGATATGCAGAAATTTCAAGTTAAAGTCTCATCAAAGGCAGATCTATACTAAGCCACAACCAAAAAATTCCTAGCAATGACTTTGTCTTTGTTTGACTGTTTGTAGATTCCTCTTGAGGAAAGTGGTAGTTTGATAGTCCTTAGTCTCTAATTCCCCTGGAGAGGGCCTGTGCTAGCTTCTCCTTTCATTCTGGCAGCTATTGTGCTTTTTCGCTATAGTTCAGCAACAATCCTTAAAGATTCACTGAAATCCTTGAAGACTGTCTTGGAAAACAGCACACGATTTTGTATTCACTGCAACTTCTAGGGTTTTCTCTAAAGCATGAATTATCTCTACAGCTCTTTTGCATTACTCTAAAACTTATTGCAAGGCATACTGTCTCATCTTGAAAAAACTTGATTGTTCTTAAATTTTTAAAGACAAGCTACCAAATGTGGAAGCAGGAAGAGGTCAGTCTGCCAAGGAAATAAGCACATCATCTCTATTGGTCCATCATATACTGGCATATCGTATATACTGTGAGCATATCATACTGACACTGAACCATCCAGCCACACACTCGTTCACTGGGCAAATGTTTGCTCAGTTGCCTCCCTCCACAGCTGTTGTGTTATGTGCTGCAGATAGAAAGTGCAAAATAAGGTTTAGAGGGAACACACATGTTACGAACTGTTAGCCATGCCTTTTGGCTCTTGGTGGCCTTGAAGACCTGTGGTGCTCCTCATGATCACTAACATGTTTAATTCCTGAGTGCATGGTGGTTTGGAATTGCAGTCTGGCTTTTCTGTCTACCTTTCTATTTTATTAGAGACATAGTATAGCGTAAGGGTTAAAGCCATAAACTCTTATGTCATTATCCTTTATGTAAAAAAATCTCAATTTTTTTTACAAAAATTAGCCAGGCATGGTGGCAGGTGCCTGTTTCCCAGCCACAAGGGAGGTTGAGGCTGCAGAATCACTTAAACCTGTGAGGCAGAGGTTGCAGTGAGCCAAGATCTTAATTTTGCTGTTTACTATCTGTGTGATCTCAGCAAGTTACTTAGCTTCCCTGGGCTTGAGTTTTCAGATCTATAAATAGCAATAGGAATGAAAAGAATACTACTTATCTCATGGTTTGGTTGTGAGGATTACATGAGTTTAAACCACAGAAATGCTTAGAACAATGCCTGGAACATATCAAGCATCTAGCAGTTCTTATAATGATTCTTCTGCCTCTTCTAGATCACAGTAGGTGTTCTTCTGGGTTTTATCTACATATTTATCAAACTGGTTTTTTTTTTTTTTTTTTGAGATAGATTCTCACCTTGTCACCCAAGTTAGAATGCAATGGTGCAATCTCTGCTCTGCAACATTCACCTCTAGGGCTCAAGTGATCCTCCTACCTCAACCTCCCAAGTAGGTGGGACTACAGGTACACACCATTATGCCTGGCTAATTCTTTGTATTTTTGATAGAGATGAGTTTTCACCAGGTTGCCCAGGCTGGTCTTGACCTCCTGAGCTCAAGTGATCTGCCTGCCTTGGCCTCCCCAGGTTCTGGCATTACAGGTGTGAGCCACTGTGCCTGGCCTATTTATCAAATTATAAAGCAAAAACAAAATATCTGAAGACGTCATAACCTTTATGAGCTGCATACCCTGAACTCAAACTATATTTCATTTGTTCATTTCCTGTAACAACTCTAATCTTCAGGGGAAACTCCTTTCTATGTCCGGAATTATTTTTTTCTCAAATATTATATCTCTTAGTTGGGCCCATTTTGCTCCCATATTCCGTCTGTTATGTGATCCATTGTCACCACTTTGTTGTCTTTCTTTTAAATCTATCTTCTCTTGTTTAAAAGCCTTTCTTCATTCACTCAACAGACATCATGTATTCAATCATTTGTTAAAGAAATAAGTTGGACATTTATTATATGTAAGAATATATAGATTAAAAAATGAAAACAATATTGTTCACATTCTCAAAAAACTAATAGTTTAGCCAGAAAGTCAGAGCATTTTAAAATAGCTATTGGCCGGGCGCGGTGGCTCAAGCCTGTAATCCCAGCACTTTGGGAGGCCGAGGCGGGTGGATCACGAGGTCAACAGATCGAGACCATCCTGGTCAACATGGTGAAACCCCGTCTCTACTAAAAATTACAAAAAAAAAAAAATTAGCTGGGCATGGTGGCGTGTGCCTGTAATCCCAGCTACTCAGGAGGCTGAGGCAGGAGAATTGCCTGAACCCAGGGGGCGGAGGTTGCAGTGAGCCGAGATCGCGCCATTGCACTCCAGCCTGGGTAACAAGAGCGAAACTCCGTCTCAAAAAAAAAAAAATAGCTATTATATAATGCAAAACTATATAGGTGAATAAATAGTATTAATAATACTTAACATTTATTGGGCACTTACTACATGCCGGACAGTCTGTTTTCAAATTTATTTTAGTATTGCAATTTATCTTCAAAACATCCTAAAGGTTCATTCTATTATAGCTCCCATTTTGTGGATAAGGAAATTGAGTTTCAACAGAATTATATAACTTATCAAAGGATATAGCAAGTAACTTCTGGAATTCAAGTTTTCAGTAGTGGACATCAGATTTGACTTCCTACCCCCAAATTTGACCCCAGCTACAAAGTAGGCCCTGGTCATCATGACAATTTTATCCTCTTTGCTGTTGATTGGTTCAGGAACCAAGGCATGAACTAATCAGAGCCTGGCTTTCCTGTGGCAAAATTATTGTATTAGGAGATGTGACCTAATTTGGGTTACCCACACTGCAGAGAAGTGGAGAGTGATTTGGAGAAGAACCTTCTGTCACCAACCAGACGTGAATGCTGCTGTAGCCATCCTACAGCCATCAGGAAACGAGACACTCAGAAAGGAAGAGTAAACAACAGAAAAAAACTGAAGTTCTTGCTGACGTTGTTAAAGTGCTCTATTAACTAATCTTGAAGCATACCCTACCTTGCAGCTTGCACTTAGTGAGCCATAAGTTCTCTTATTAAGGAGTTGAGTTTTCTATTACTTGTTGCTGTAAGTATTCTACTGATACGTTGTTTGGTTCCAAGATTCCATGCTCTTGACCGCAGTGAGAAAAGTTAATGAAAACCAGCAGAAGCTAACATATATTTTGTAGCTACAGTATACTAGGCATTCTGCTGGGTGCTTCATAAATAAATGTTACCTTATGCCATTGCTCAAAACCCTATCAGCAATTTTCTTTAATTTTTTTGTTATCATCATTGTAAAGATTGTGAAGCTAAATGCTTTAGTGGTAAATTAACTTGCATAAAATTCTACAGCTAATAAGAAGAAGTTAGAGTTAGGCCCTTATTTGTCTAGCTCCATTCATGGATTTTATATTGTATCCAAATCCTGACTCAGAGGCTGCCTGTCACAATGAGGCCTGTGATGTTTTTTTCCTTATCACGTGAATTTCAATCTTTCTCAGGTTGTTAACTTATATTCTTAAAGGAAATTTTTTTCCTAAGACCTAAGAACTCTCTCTAACCCGCCATCTTGCTTCCTTTTTATATAGACACCAACCCCTTATTTCCTCTCCTTTTTAAAGAAGTTTCTTACTGGATATCTCTTTGACTCAGATCTATTTAGCTCAGGTTCAGCTTAAGACTAAGAATGTTGACTTAGAATCAGGATATCTATGTTTTAGTATTAATTCCACAGATCACTGACTCTATAACCTCATAACAGAATTTTAAAAATAATTTCAAAATTTTTTTTTAGATTCAGAATTATATGTACAGATTTGCTACAAATCAAGAACTCAATCCCTTTTACAATAGCTGCAAAAATAAAATAAAATAAAATAACTTAGGAATATACATAACCGAGGAGGTAAAAGACCTCTGCAAGGAAAACTCCAACCACTGCTGACAGAAATCATAGAGAACACAAACAAATGGAAACACATCCCATGCTCATGGATGAGTAGAATCAATATTGTGAAAATGACCATACTGCCAAAAACAAACTACAAAATCAACACAATTCCCATCAAAATACCACCATCATTCTTCACAGATTTAGAAAAAAAATTCTAAAATTAATGTAGAACCAAAAAAGAGCCGGCATATCCAAAGCAAGAGTAAACAAAAAGAACAAATTTGGAGGCATCACATTTCCTGATTTCAGTCTAAACCATAAGGCCATAGTCATCAAAACAGCATGGTACTGGTATAAAAATAGGTATATAGACCAATGAAACAGAATAGAGAACCCAGAAATAAACCCAAATACTTACAGCCAACTGATCTTTGACAAAGCAAACAAAACCATAACGTAGGGAAAGGACACCCTTTTCAACAAATGATGCTGGGATAAATGGCTAGCCACAAGTCAGAGAATAAAATTTGATCTTCATCTCTCACTTTATGCAAAAATCAACGTAAGATGGATTAAGGACTTAAATCTAATACCTGAAACTATAAAAATTCTAGAAGATAACATTGGAAAAATCCTTCTAGATATTGCCTTAGGCAAAGATTTCATGACCAAGAACCCAAAAGCAAATGCAATAAAAACAAAGATAAATAGCTGGAATTAAA